CTTCTTCTTCTTCTTCTTCTTCTTCTTCTTCTTCTTCTTCTTCTTCTCCTCCTCCTCCTCCTCCTCCTCCTCCTCCTTCTCCTTCTCCTTCTCCTTCTTCTCCTTCTTCTTCCTTCTTCTTCCTTTTTCTTCTTCTATTTCAATTAGTTGTATACAGCTAATCCCCGACCTTTGACCGTCTAATTAATGATGGTTCAAAGTTACAATGAACTTGGAAAAAGTGACTTCCAACCTGTACTCACAGCCATTCCCATGATTGTGTGATCAGAGCTCGCATTTACGACTGGTAAATTCAGTGTCCTGTGATCATTAGATCATGATTTGCAACTTTTTTTTGCCAATTTCTGGCAAAAAGTGCCCTTTGGAGAAGCTGGGTTTGCTTAACGATTGCTGGATTTGGTGCACGACCACATGATTAGCTTCACAGTGGCCATGAAAATTTCATAAAATTAGGTCTGATTCGAGCTGCAGCAGAAATTCCAGTCCAGGTAATGGACGTAGGTCGAAGATGACCTGTATAGCAAATGGAAAGTGGTGTCTTTATTGTTGACACTATCATCTCTAAAGGGAAAGGCAGAAGAGACTAAAACATATCAAGCTCTCCTACAGTAAGATGGTCTGTCTGGATTAGCAGCATTTCTACAGTGCCATAATCGGATGCATGCTAAATGTGTAGTTATCATTGAATAATGAGACACTCCTCCCCCCCGATGGATCTGCTCCTTTTGAAGATCTGCCCCTATTGTCTTGTAGTTCTCTGTGATTCCATTTAATCATTCTCTTAATACTTTTCTCTTGTATTGGATCAGCGTTGTGCAACTTGGACACGTCACCGTATACCTCCTACTATCTGTACCACGGACAAAAGGGTGGGTACCCATCACTTTAAAAAGGCATAGCAGCAGAAAACTAGGCAACTGTCTAATTTTGCTTCCTATAGCCAAGGAGAGTTTGGCTCACAAGCTGGTCCAGCTTCCTCTATTCCACATGTTAGAGAGGAAGCACACCTAGATTAATCTTGACCTCACAGAGTTTAGCACTTTTTTTCTAAACTTGGGCATCGATTACTAGACACAGTATCAAAATGGAGATGCATCATGACATCATCATACAAATTTTGCAATTACCAGCTGGCATCATAATATTTGAGGCAAGTATATAAGCCACATCACTTTTCTGATGGGTGTCAGATGCATATGTCATTTGGACTCTGGCAGATACCCATGGATGGATGCTCAGTTGTTGTTGGTATGTATGATCTTGTGGCAGTATGTTGTATCAGCTGGTACATGTTTCTGTAAGAAGGAATTAGTTTTCTGTTGTTCTTTCGGGAAGTAGTACTTTTTAAATATTTTATAATTAAATTTGTATGCCACCCTATTTCCCATGACTCTAATTGCTTCACAAGTTAAAAAAAAGCTTTATCAAATAATTGTCTGCCTCTATATATCTTCCATATCAAGTAATTGCTTCCCATAATTTGATTCTCATTATGGTTACTTGGCTTCCAAGTTAGAAAGTAGATGCAGGGTGATTTTATTACTTGGGCACTTCATCTTTTGGCAACGTAAGCATTCTGACTGTGAATGTATTCTCAAAACTGTGGTTTTAAAGAAATTTGAGTAAGTTGCCATGTCTTACTAAGAATTGGTAGATAATGAAGCATTCATTTCAGTCCTCTAATTTGTTCTTCTCAGGTCAAAAGGTTTGACAGAGTCACTGGACAGATGGGATCAATTGGCTCCAAGGAGGAAGATGCACCTGTGCCCTGGGTAAGCATTCTTATGGCAAACAATAGTATTGCCCATGTAAGACAATATGTCTATAATGAGGACTCTTGTCCCTCAGGTCACAGGGCATTCAGTCCTCCTAACGCGTGGCTCGAAGTTCCTTGAACAGTTTAGCCGTTTTTCTTATTTGTATCTGCCACAAGTACAAATAATCCTCAATTTAACAACAGTTCGCTTAGTGATCATTCAAAGTTGCAACAACATTGAAAAAAATGTGACTTCTGACCATTTTCCACAGTTGCGACCTTTGCAGCATCCCCACAATCAGGTGATCAAAATTCGGAGGCTTGGCAACCGGTTCATGCTTACGACCGTTGCTGTGTCCCAAAGGTCATGTGACTCCCTTTCGTGACCATCTGACAAGCAAAATCAGTGGGGATTCCAGATTCACTTAACAGTTGGCTGATTAACTGTAGTGATTCACTTAACAACTGTGGCAAGAAAAGTCGTAAAATGGAGTGAAACTCACTTAACAGATGACTTACTTTACAACAGAAATTATGGACTGAATTGTGGTCATAAGTCAAGGACTACTTCTAAAGCTTTATTATTATAAAATGCGTCACAGATACCAGATACATAGATGTTCATTTAAGTTTTGCTGGCAGCCCAACCAGATAACTCTTGGTTAGAATTAGTTAGTTCATTTTACTTACTGTATTATTGTATATCCAGGAAGCCAATACAGCATTATTTGTTTTTTAGGATGCATTATTTGTTGTTTATTCTTTCCACTTTATTGTTGTTGCAAATTATGAAATTCTTGGTAAACACGATTTCTGAATTTCTGCTAGAAAACTAATCTTGTTAAATGTAGAATTTTAATCTGTAAATTTGTTCGATATGCACATTTTTATAAGGTAAATGTGGTCTACAATAATTTATTGTGAAGACCTTTCTGGCTTAAAAAAAAAAAAGATTGTGTTCCTAAAAGCTGCATTTTTGTAAAACCAGAAATAATATAAACCAGAACCAAGTTCTTTTGTCAGGCCTGGCGAAAATATAGCAGCCATGCTAGGATGCTTGGTGGGGCCAGGAAATCATTGCCCGGCCAAAAATGGACCTGGCAGAAAATATTCCTCATGTTTCTGCCTGTTCTTGACAGATCTTTGGTAGGATGTGTTTCAGAGGAAGTGATATGTGACATTTCCCTATCCTCCCCACTCCCACACAGGGGAAAATAGCTGTGCGTCTTTTTGATGAGGAAACGTCAACATCATTGAAGAAAGTGGCAGCTGTTCCTGCGATTAGCAAAGAAATGGGAAAGCTTCAGGTAAGCAAAGGAGTCTTGAGAGTGGGAGTCAAATTGTGTTTTTTTTTTTCATTTTTATAAATGAGACTTACAAGGAGAATGTGCAGTGTGGTGATTGCAAGTAAAGTCTGAGATTACGGAAGTGGCTATGGGGTGTGTGTGCTGTAAACCTGTGGTCTTTCTCCCACGGGCTTGGCCCAGGCCCCCAGAATGGCTCCCAAAAATGATGCTCGGTGGTTATGTTAAACTTGTAGAAGAGGGTGGTTATTAAAAAGACAAGAAACAAGCAATGGCAGCCTCAGCAGCCTTGGCTGATCTTAAAAATCTAGACACAGGGACGGATCTTGTCAGGAGCTGCCTATTACCTACAGGGCTCCAAGGGCTGTGGGCCAGAATTTCCCAGGAGAAGGCATCAACAAACACTTCTGTGTGGTTTCCACGAAGACTCCATGGGCTCACCTCCTGAATCAGGGATGGTACAGGGTGGTTGGGGCTGATATATTGTATAGTAGCATGCTCTGGAGGTCCTTTATGGGGAACAGCATACACAGAAACAAGTCCGGTGCAGATGAGAGGGAGCCATGTTGCTTGCTAGGTGAGCTGATGTTTCCTGTGGATTCTGGCTGGGGACACCTTTTTTCCTCACGGTTCTTTGCATTTTTCTCCCTCCAGCGTATTGAGTATCTCGCCAAGCTCTTGCAGCAGGAGATGGATGGTGACATTGATTATGAGGAGACCCCCTCACTAAAGGAATTGCACAAGCGCTTGACGGTTCACAGCCCACCAACTCTGGAAGCTTCTGAGCCTGAACTATCTTCTACACCTCCCCAGGATCCTAAGCCAAGCTTGTATGAACAGGCTCCAGACTTGAAAAATGTGACTGTTACCCCTGTACCTTGCTTCACCCACACCACCTCCAGCCAGATGCACATCTGCCCCAGCCCCTCCCTGCAAGAAGTCAGCTGCCCTTCATCCAGTGTGACGAGTACAGGTGAGGCAGGAAAGGTAGTGGTGGGTAGGCCTTTTAAGGAAGTGAGACATTTTGGTGGCTCCAGACTTTCATCTGCAAGAACAAGAAGCTCTAGAGCAGGGGACTCCAAAATGGCTGACTGGGGAATTCTGGGAGTTGAAGTCCACAAGTCTTAACATTGCCACATTTAGAGTGAACCTGCTCTGGAGCTTCTTGTTGAAATTCAGCTCATAGCACTTTTCAGAGTCTGAGGCTTGCCATTTAAGAAGTGTCCTGATGATCATAGCCCATGGACAGCAAAACCTCTGCAGATAGGCCATAGGTCTTTAGTTTATATAAAGGTCTACTTTCAGAACAAGTGGGGTTGGCCAGAGATAGTTTGAGCCAGATCCATAGGATAAAAATAAAGTTTTAACTAAAGATTAAAGATTGCCAACCAAACACCCCCTTTCCACCAATGACTGGAGAAACCCGCTGAGAATACTGAAGCTGTGCCGGCTGGACAATCTGTCAAGAGCAGGCTGTCTTCTGAGGCATACATTGGCGGTGTGACAGTAGAACTCCCTATAGTCTTTAAGCCTGCTGACAGGTATCCTTTTTCCACTGTTCCTTGTGAGAACAAATGACAAGGCCAGAAGGATCCTTGAAAACCACTGCAAGGGACTCTGAAGCATTGTGAAGGAACAGAGGGCACAGAAGGTATTTTCTCAAAAGACCTGGCCCAGGAAAAGGGGAGAATGTTCTGGAAGTGAACAACTGTAGTTATGCAACAGGAATACTTGAAAATGGGATGCTTTCCTGAAATGGGGGATTCCTGGCAAGATATGTTTTGTTCCTTATGAGAACCAAGAAGAATGCATTAGGAAAGTGTCTTACAAATGTAATCTGGGGGCTTTAAATGGATTCCCAAGAGAGAGATGACAGACCAGAAAATAGCCAGAAGAACAGTAACCCAGGAACCTGCAATTCACCAGGGTCATAAAAGAGTCAGGAAATACAAAAAAAAACTGCCTATAATCAGCCTTGGTCCATGCCTCCTTCTATTTGCCCCTGTAGGTCTCGTAAAACAACGGTTGGATCACCTCCGCACCGCCCCCCTTCGTTTCCATGAAGCCTGCCTAAATGACGAATGTGCTTTCTACACTTCTCGCCTTGTCTCCCTGGTTCAGCCCTCGGTGCCTCGGTGCCAAGAGCCGGTAGCAAAAATTCTCAACACTCACGATACCATGGTAAGATGGATGTAGCCTGCCGATGTGCTGGGTGAGCAGCAAGTCAAGGTTACATAAGCCAAAAGCAACTCCTGATGTTTACAGAAAATATTTAGTTGAGGGAAGGATCCATGTTGTTCTTCGAAAGTATGCTGTAGCTCAAAGGGTGCCAATTGTTCCCCTTTGTGTATTTGTGTATGATGGGCTATGCTGCCATTTTCCTACATGAAAAAAAAATGCTCTGCTCCATATGGTTTGCACAAGGTGAATCTATTCGCTTGTTTGCCCAAATTCAGTGCCCAAATTCAGAGGATCTGCAGTGGGATGCATATACAAACAGGCTGAACCTTTTATGCAAGTTCCCACAATTTTGAACTGAATGTGCTGCTTAATATGAGGTATTTTACCCACGAGGTGTGATTCTCCTTTCTCCCACCAATCCCCTTTCTGGGCCTACTGTCAGAGGCTCAAAACCTGGTTCTGCCTGATGGGAATGTTCCATGTTAGAGGCGATTATTAGATTAGAAAGAAGATCCCTGCTCCATCCTGTAGCATTTTGTGTGTGGTTTTTTTTAATTGTTTAATCTCTCTGTATTTGTAAGCCATCCAGAATCGCTTGACAGTGTCATATAAATTTAATAATAATAATAAAAATAGGTTTCAAAATATCTATTTCTGAGAAAAAGTGAGATGCCAAAGTATGTATGTCTTGTAGAATTAGGGGCTCCAAAACGTGCAAGTGTGGTGAGGGCAGAGCAAGGGCATTCCAGAACATTCTTATCATGGGAAGGCATGTTTGTGAGCTGTTTGCTGTGGCAACCAATAAGTTCATATTAACCTTTATTTCAAGACAGGCTCATTCTTCAAACAAAAGGGTATATGCTTGCTCTTTTCTACTTAGTCCGGATTGCCATTAAACTGCTGACATTTTAATTGCTAAAATGGTGGCCACTGGCATTGTAGTTCAGCTTGCTGTTGCTCAAGATTGTCCATCTTTTTCTTGTCTGTATCCCCTTTACTTGAAGCTTATCAAGGCATTCATGTAGTTTGTGTGTAAGCGCCTAAAATTTGCAGCTGATTTGGTGCCATGACTTACTTGTTCAGAATTAGTCTTTTTTTTTTTTACAGAGGGGCAAGCAAGAGAGCTAGGTTTGGCCTAGTGGTTAGGGCACCAGGCTAGAAAGCAAGGGACCACGAGTTCAAGTCCTGTCTTAGACATGAAAGCTGGCTGGGGGACCTTGGGCCAGTCACTCTTTCTCAGGCCAATTCACTTCACATGGTGGTTGTTGTGAGGAAAATATGAGGAGATATGTTGGATATGTTTGCTGCTCTGAGTAAAAATACAAAAGGCAGGTTGAATTTTCTAACAGTTTTTTTTCCATGAGACACATTTGTGGATTTTTCCTTTTATAATTTTTAGAAATACTTTTCTATCCCATAGTAAATTACCACTTTGGTAATGTAGCACTTTCAAAACAATATCTGGAGCTGTTTTTCTCCTGAAGCTAAAGAATAAAATTACTCCTTAGAGATGTAGCAGTTGTCATCCCACTCTAGGAGATGCTCTTGATCAGGTGCTGTTAGAAGCTTGATAATGGCCAATGTATATATATCTTTGCTAATGTTTTTGCGCACTCTCTCTTTAATCAGCACTTTACACCCATCTTGGCATCTGCACCGCTTTCCCCATCTTCAGAGGAAGAAAGGACTCCACTCTCCTGAAAAAAGGGAGCCATGCCTCTGTTTTGCGGGTTGGCCGATGGAAGACAGTAGTGCTCAGAAAGGAAAGGAGAAAAAGCTGCAAAAGCCATTGTGGCAAAGACCTCCCAAGACTTTACATTTTACAGGATGCACTAACATTAATTGTAAACAGGTTTTTTTTTTTTAATAAATATAACTGTAAAAAAGTTGCCCTGTTTTATTTTTCTCCCTAAAAAAGAGATATGAGAAGAAAGCACGGAATTTGTTCCAAGTTTAGAAGATATTTTAATAAAGACATCCTGTGAAATAGCCCTGCCTTGCCAGATTTTGTTACAGGTGCTTTCTACGCCTTGCACTGTGTTTGTAAGGGCCTGATCACAGGTAATTACTGTATGAAGGGATTAAAAAATTGGTTTACACATTTTGTGGGCTAATACCAGTACTTGTACTGAAATAGAAAAAGACGAATAGTCAATCTTTCTACTTCCATTTTTCCTCCTTCATTGGTTGTAAAGTTATTTTTTTCCAGCACTGTCATACCTTTGAACAGTCACTGAATGAAACTGTGAGGACTACCTGTAGTCTAATTACATAGTGACAAAGCACAATATTGTTGCAAAATCCTTCTCAGGTTGCCATCCCCCAGCCAAAGCTGGGGAATGGTTTCCACCTGCCCATTCATCCCTGGCTGTAAACGCATGAGGCTTCTCGAGTCATGGGCCTGGTTCCTCATGGAAACCAAATCAAGAAACCACATTCAACAAATGGCAACTTCATCATTCATCAGATTGTCCCATCCAAGCTCCAAGTGATCCACAAGATGATGGTATTTATGTGGCTAAGATACTGATGTATGGTTGGGTATCATCAGCATATCGATGATGTCATAGGCTGACATGGTAGATGACTTCTCCCAGCAGTTGTGAGGTAAATATTAAGTACAAATGGTACATAACAGCAATGAAAAGAAAAGATCCATAGGGAGAGAGGTCTTGTGCTGATATCACTGCCTCTTCCCACCAATTGGAAGCATCCATTAAAGGAGGTAGAGAAGCACTGTGTCTCACTTCCCAATTCCTACAAATAGTCCAGGAAGATACTGTGATAAAATGATATAAAAGACTGCTGAAATATCTAACATGAGTAGGTGTGAACCATGTCTGAAAATAATTCAGATGAACCTTTTCCTCTAGAGTGCTCCTAAGAAATGTCAGCTCTATAAGGTAGACCAGGTTTAAGAAACCGATGCCATATTTAAAGTTGACTCAGCCTTCCATCCTTCCGAGGTGGGTAAAATGAGGGCCCAGTTGGAGGCAATATGCTGACTGTAAACTGCTTAAAGAGGGCTGTAAAGCGCTGTGAAGTGGTATGTAAGTCTAAGTGCTATTGCTATATAGATAAAGAACTACTTTTATTGCAACAGGTATAGTAACAACCTTATAAATCTGAATGTGCTTCAGAGGAAGGGACTCTCGGAGGGACTGTTGGAGATATTTACTCAAATTAGTTTCTTGGAATGGGTGCTTTCTAGAGGTTAAACCTTCGTAGCAGCTCTTAACCCCTGACCTCCAAGGCCATTCCCTATGCTTTCCACAAAAGAGAGCTAGATACTAGACAGTAGTTATTACAAACAGCTGGTTCCAGGAATGATCGGGTTCAGGTCAGCATATACAGGTAGTCCTCTACTTACAACAGTTTGTTTAGTGACAGTTTGAAGTTACCAATACATCACTGAAAAAAGTGACTTATGACCATTTTTCACACTTACAACTGTTGCAGTATCCCTATGGTCACTTGATCAAAACTTGGGTGCTTGACCTGTATTTATGATGGTGGCAGTGTCCCAGGATCATGGGATCACTTTTTGCAACCTTTTGACAAGCAAAAGCAGTGGGGAATCCAGATTCACTTAATGACTGTTATAACTTAACAGCTACAGTGATTCACTTAACAACTATGGCAAGAAAGGTTATAAAATGGGCCAAAATTCACTTAACTGCCTCACTTAGTAACAGAAATTTTGGGCTTAGTTGTGGTTGTAAGTCGAGGACTACCTGTATTATTGCTTTCAGTGTGGGAGCAACAACCTTCTCCCATAGTGGGTCATTGACAAACTCCCAAGATTCAGATTGTCATGCTCTACCCACCTCCACCCCCGGTCCACTTAAGGAACAGGTGAACCATGGTGCTTTTTTAAAGAGACAACTGGACTTTCTGGTTTTTCTTTGAAGACGTTTCGCTTCTTCAACTGAAGAAGCTTCTTGGATGAAAAGTGAAATGAAGAAGCTTCTTGGATGAGAAGTGAAACATCTTCAAAGAAAAACCAGAAAGTCCAGCTACCTCTTGAAAAAAAGCTCCTTTGGAACAACCATGACCTGGATGACTTGAGAATCTCCATAGATATTTAGTGATACGTGGTTGAGAGCCTATCAGAAAGCACACTCACTTCTTTACTACCATAAATCAAAGGATTATCCCTGATAACTTGGTAAGATGCAGATCTAGTCTCTGATTTCATTCATGAAGAGTCATGGGATTGGCAACTCTGAATGACTTTATTGGGTTGGTCAGTATCTTGGGAACAACCATATTAAGCCACAACCATATTAAGCGTCCATTGGCAGTAGGCAACAAAGTACTCAATGGTGCTGTTTGTAAGATTGTGCTGTCCAGACAGTTTAGAGTTAATGGGATTTGGGATAGTTAGGATTTGAGAGCTGTCCCCTTAAGGGAATGCATCATGGTAAATGTAATTAAGGTATCCTGGGAAATTTAGTTCATGTCATGTGGCCACATCTGTAATCCTGATTGGTCACTAAATTGACCCTTGTTGGGTTGGGGGAGGCTCCCTCACTCTTGCCTGAACACAGCCTCATGGTAACAGCTCTACCCCCTGCCTCTAGGATATGGGATGAAAGAGGTAACCATCTTTCTACACCACAATTCAGATATGCAAGGGATTGGACATTAAGAAGAACCTTGTCATAAATGTGAGTTGATAGGATGACTGATAAAAAGACTTTGTATGGATGCTTTGTGGAGTTACTCTGTCTGCTTTATGCCATCCATACATTAGTAAGCAGAACAAAGATCACCGGAGGATTCTCCTTGCTCCCACCAAATTTTCTGTGGGTTCATGAACTACTGGTACCTAGGGTGGAACATTTTAATTAAAGGGTTATTCCAATAATTTTATGTGTATTCTGACTATGGCAAAGGGAAATACCTCTTACATACCAATTATGAAACGGTTCTGAGGCAAAGACGAGGTCAACCGTATGGAAGCTTACTTGCATCAGGCCTGAAATAAGCCCATGATCACCATGGAGTCTAGAATTTTTTTCTTCCTAGCCTGGTTTCCAAAGAATGGAGATTGAAACTCCTCAGTAACCAAAAGTGGGGGACTCCCAGACCAGATTTAGCAGCACAGGGGAGGGCACAGGTACACCAGAAGGATTTCCAGCTTGTCCCTAAAGCCAAATGTAAATACATAGCATTCACATGCCACTATCTCAGGAGTAGTGTCCCTGGTCACAGTCAAGGGGTTTCAAAAGATCAGTAGCACAACTCTTCCCTATCCTTAGTTTCTAGCCTGCTGAAAAACCCAAATCTTGCAGAGGACAAATCCTTGAGAAAGTAATGTTACCATGTTTCTCCAACAATATGGCCTCCATCAATAGGAAGGCCCAGCATGATTTCTAGGCATGAGGTGAAATTAAGCCCCATCCCCAAAATTTAGGCCTAGAATACCCCAATCTACCGATAGAACATCAGCCAATAGAAGCTCCCCGAAGGCAGAGTTCCCAGCCGCTTTGGGGCGAGGCATGGCTGCCCGTGTCCCCTTGCCATTAGGCAGTGTCTTTCGGGAGATGGAAGCTCCCCAAAGGCAGTCACCAGCCACTTCGATCGGCTGGTAGAAGTGGCCTCGGGGCGAGAGCACACACACACACACTCCCCTCACTGTGAGGATGCTTCTACCGGCCGATCGAAATGGCTGGTGACTGCCCTTGGGGAGCTTCCATCGCCCGAAAGACACTGCCTCATGGCAAGGGGACACGGGCAGCCATGCCTCGCCCTGAAGCGCCTGGGGACTCTGCCTTCGGGGAGTTTTCATCGGCCAATAGAAACGGCTTCATGGAGAGGCCTAGCCATTTTTTCAGGGCTCAATAAAAAAAAAGGCCCAGCCTTATTTTGTGAGAAACACAGTACAATCCTTAAAGGACTCAGTAACACATTCTGGATCCACACTTTGTTGATTACTGAACAATGAACGAACATTTCCTGTCAGCAGCTTGGCACTAGTGCCCTGCCCAACAAGACCCAGTGTGAGGGGCGTTTGGATTGGTTGTAGGGAACACCAAAATGTTGATCTTCCTTTCCACATAAACTTATCATGGTACCTCTTGATATCTCTCCCTTGACTCAACACTACTAGGATGCAATCTATCCACTCCACTTTCTTTAAATCCAGGAAATGATCAGTAATTACATACATGTTCCCTCACTCAAACTAAGCACGCCAGATGGATAGCAAAGCCATTTGTGTTCATGCTTTTCCAGTCTTATAAAATACTATCTGCTGTCTACTCTACAGCTGAACTTCGTCACTAATCAGGTCCAAGTGGCTCAGTTCAGAATCCACAGCACAGACATTCGCCATTTCAAGTTTCTTAAATGTTCACCCAAACCCACATATCTTAACACTCTTCTAGATGGTCTCCCAGAAAATGCAACCACAATCACAGTCATATTGGATGTTGTTTTGAATATCTTGAAGATCTTTGAGATAGTTCAGGGGAAGAATATAATTCCAGCAGCTCCATCAGGCATGGCTAATATCAGGAGCCATAAGTCCTGATATTAGCCATGCCTGATGGGGCTGCTGGGTTCTTCCCCAGAAGCCATAAATTTTCCACATATAAGGTTATCAAATGATTAGGTTCGCATTTGGTTTTGGTTTGTTTAAACCGTAATTTAGTTTCTTTTTAATAAACCCAAATGGATTATTTTTGATCCATTGTGATGCATGAACTCAAACAAACCTTCAGATGGCTTAATACAGTGTGTGAACACAAACTACAGTATCTGTTTTAAAGTGGCAGCGAGGAAAGCTGTAGAATCTCGATTACTGCTTTTGCGTGGAGAGACTGCTGATGTGACCTTAAGGGTAAGATGCAAAAAAATAAAAAATAAATGGTTGAACCAGGGAAA